CTTCCGGCCATCCTTAACCCCAGTTCAGGGTCCACTTAATGTGGACATGCTAGTTCGAATTAGCAAAACGCTAATTCAAACTAGTTTTTTAGTCTGGATCCGTTAGTTTGAATTAGCTTAGTTCGAATTAACTAATTCGAACTAAGTTAGTTCGAATTAACATTGTAGTGTAGACGTACCCTAATATAGTTACTTGACTAGTCACTTACATCCCTAAGCCATATGTTCCCTTTTGTAGAAAAAAAGGTCAAGAAATGGGGCAGAAGTACAAGGCAAAAAATGTATCTCAGTACGCTCACATTTAGCTTGATGGATCAGCATACAAAACTGTGGGTTTTGTTGTTTGTTTAAACACTACTGCCTCAACTGTAGAGTAAATAAATTTGAACTTTGACACAATACAATCCTAGATTGCAGCTGCATCTTCCTGTGCCTGTTTTAATTCTGCTACATATTAAGATTTCATTCATAGAATTATCTTTGTTTGGTCTTGAATTGATGAATGTGTGCCTATGAAAAGGAAGGAGAATTTCAGTTTTGATACCTACAGGCACGTAGAATATGGTCTGTGAAAATGTGTAGAGAAGAAATCTGGGCTCTAAGGATACGTTTACATTGCATTCCTCCGAGAGAGAGGAATGCAAATTTAGACAAATGAAATTGCAAATGAAGCGTGGATTTCCCATGCTTCATTTGCATAATGGTGGCCAGCCGCTTTTCCGAAATAGCGTATTTTGAGAAAAAACGGGGTTATTTTGAAAAGAAACTCTTCCTACGAAATAACCCCATTTTTTCCTCGAAATACGCTATTTCAGAAAAGCACTGGCCGCCATTATGCAAATGGAGCGCAGTAAATTCAAATCTGTGCTTCATTTGCAATTTTGTTTGTCTGCATTTGCATTCCTCTCTCGAAAGAGGAATGCAATGTAGACATACCCTAAAAGACTCCAGTCTTCCTTGAAGCAACACAATATCAATGAAAAAAGGAAAGATTTCCTGCCTCAGGCATTGTTCTCTTTGTGTAGATACTCCTCAGAGCATTCTGTGCCAAATATTAAAATTTCTGGTCACAATATTTTACAATGTTGCCAAATGCTGCACATTTTATTTGTCAAATAAATGTGGAGGCTCCAGCATGGCATTGCACTGTGCAGCTCTCCCTGGGATATAAACTCAATGGTGAGACTGCACCCAGTACTGAAACAGTGCAAGGCAGGATCCAAGTATGGAGGAGCTTAGTATGTATGTGGGGAGAAGTGGAGGGAAATTCAGGTGTAGTTTGAGAGGGTTCTGTATGGAGCAGACTGGATGCTGGCAGAACAGTGGGGGATCTCGATGCAGAGGTGTTTGTTTGGAGGTTTTGGGTGCAATGGTACTGAACTCTGCAGGGGGTCCAGGTGAAGGTAACACATGCTCAGTGGGGGCTTCAGGGGGAGGGGGAGGTATAGAACTCAGCAGGAGGGTCTGTGTATGGTGGGCTCAGTGGGGTGGGGATCCAGGTGCAGTGGGATGGACCTCGGTAGGGAGGGTGGCTTTTCAGGGTGATGCAGGTACAGTTGGAGTGGAGCTTATTGGGGGAAGAGGTCTGTGGGTGGGGACTGAGGCCTGTCAGGAGAGTCTGGATACAAGGGGGTCTGGATGAATGGGGATTGAGTAGATGGGGGAGCAGCTCCCTGTACCAAGATCCCTCCCCCCTCCATTTGAGAAGCCATGGGTGAAGGAAAGAAAGGGGGGGGGAAAGTCTGCAAAGCTTCCTTTAACCGGGGGAGAAAGCTGCAGGTGGGTTTGACCCTGACTTGGATATTCCATGGGGTAGAGGAAGTCCCATCTTCCCCAGCCTAGCTGGGGCTACCAGTGAGCCTGGTTTACAGTAGGAGCCACCAGCTGGCTCTTCCCCATCTCTCCTCCTGTCTCACAGTGATTTATCTCTCTGCTTGCTGCCCGGGGCATCTAAAACTAACTGCTGGGGAGGGTTACATAACCACTTTTGTGGCTTCCCTTTGCTCCCCTGTAAGATGGTCATTTTTCTGAAGGGAATCTGTACATGCACAGAAGCACAGAAATCCCCCAGAAAGATATAATGCACAACATTCTGTAACTATGTAGCTAATACCTGCACATGATAACATTTATTTTACATAAACCTGGGAAATTCTAGTAACACCTTTATGCCCTGCTCCAATAAAAAACAACAACCACCCAACACCTCACTAACCTTCCTCACATTAACACTAAGATTTCAAAGTGAAGCAAGCTAAAGTTAGGAAATGCCTCAATAAAGGCTACCTGCTTTTTCTTCATTCTGCCCATTTGAGACAGAATGTTTATTATATACCCATTCTTCTTTCATAGGGGAGAGAAGTTCACTGAAGAAGTCTGGGATAGAGGCAGGAATAGATCCAATCCA